TCATTGGGAACAGGCATGAGCAGAAAAACCAAGCTATTGGATGAACAGCTATCCTAGGATTTTCTTTTCTATGAGAGCAGTCAGGATCTCGGGCTGGGATTTTTGGAAGTGACCGGTGGTTCTGGGTGTGTAATACATCAATCTCGATGCTCACAGTACGTTGAGGACCTCAAAGTTTGTGCCCCAGTAAGGAGTCTCCAAGTTGGGCACTCCAGATGCAAACCACTTGGTCACTATCCGGTTCTGCAAATCTCAGCCTTCACCTTTTCTTCCGAGTATTGCTCAACAGAGGAATGTGGTAATAAAGCATTGTAGGTAAGAATGCAGGCTCGCACATGACCTGAGATCAACACCCTGAACAATGGATAGAGGGTAGTGTTTTCAGGGCCACCTAAATGACTTGGGATCTTTAGCTCCTTTTTCCAAAATGACATGAGAATTTTAGCCCTGACATGGGCTTCAGATAGAAGCTTGGACATCCTTCAGGATCTGGGCCTTAGGAGCATTAAGGTAATTTGAAAGCCAGTGAAATTATACTCTCAAGCACCCATGTCACTTGGGTTATTCTGAAAATGATACCCTATATACATATGGGTAGGTAAGGGGCAGACTTTCACAGGCACAAGTGGCAGTTAGACATGTAACTCCCATTGATTTTTTTCCCCCTCGGGGACCTGGAAAACTCCCCCCGAGGAGTTGAATCCTCCTCTTGCATTATTTTCACACCAGATTAACACCACTGCTTCCAGTGGAGTGACTCCTGAGTTACCCCAGTGTGAGCGAGAGGAGAACCAGTCCTGAGGTGCTCTAAATATCCAGTGAAAGTGCTAATGTGGCAATGCGGAAAAGTGGGGAATCTAGCACAGGCCTGGAAGAGGACCCCGCCACCGCCACCCCAAGTCATTGAGCTCAGGTGGTCACCGAACGGACTCTTGGCCAAGAGGGTCCAAAAGAGCCTTCCCTCCACCTCTGCAAATCACAGCCTCACTGCTTCCCTCCAAAGACACCTACGACAAACACCAGACCTTTGGTACAAAGAGCCTCATGTGCTACAATGTGCCATTTGGAGAGCACCAAAAAAAACCGAACTACCTCATTTTATGTTTTTCTTCCTTCCTTTCTTCCTAAATTATGGTCATTTCTTTCATCTACAGCATCATGCTCCCCTAGAGACAGTGCTTATGTAGTCACCGTAGATGACTTCCTTCCAGCTAAGGCCTCTCATGGGGCTGTGTTAGGGTTTGGTGCTGGAAAACACAGGGTCTGGAGGTGTCCCAGCAGGACGCACTTCCCTCCCTTTGGAGAGTGGCTCACAGAGGATCTTCTTGGCTGATGCAATACTTCCAGGTGTTGTGGTTTTTTATATGCTATCAATGCATCAAGCCCATGGATGCCATAAGCATTGCAAAGCAGACCAAATTCAAGCAAATGATTCATTGCACTGAGGGGGAGGGAGGGGGGTTATTAGCTTTGGATTTTTTATGGTTTTCCAAGGCTTAATCTAGATGAGGTGAAATGTCAAGAGCCGGCCTACAGCTGTTAGGAGCATTCAGTACAGATGTGGATCACTAGCACATCTCACTACAGAGGCACCAAAAAGTCCCTCCTGGACTCAGCTCTGTGCATGAGGCCAGGCACCATTTTCCCTGTAGGAGTCACCTTGTCATCCCCTTCCCTCTCCATACACAAAGCAACAACCACAGACACCTTCAGGCAGGATATATGCTCTTCAGGGAAAGAGGAAGAGATACACGTCTGTTGCTGCATTAGGACCAGTAGAAAAGCTCCAGCTACTCTGCTGGATACTCCCCACTCCCCTCTTCACTTCTGTGACCTCCTGTCTTTTGTGCTGCTCTCAGCTCACATGATACCCTGCTAGAAAATTCATTCCCCAAAAACCCCTGTTTTCCTTCCAGTTTCCGTCCTGTGCTACATCCTTTGAACTGCTTCCTTTCAGCCTTTAAAGTCTGACTGAAGAGGCAACACAAGGAAATCCAAATGCTTTTCTCTGCTCTCTTCCTGTACCCTGCAGACAGCCCAACTTCCTATACAAATCTTGTGTACTACACATGAAACCACCTCGTGCTCAAGGCAGGGTTTGTCTGTGCGCTCTCTCTCACGCTCCCTTTGCCCTGACTCTCTGGCAGGATCAGGACACGGTACAATAAGAAAGATAGGGGGGTGCTTGGTTACAGCCAGTAAATTTTAAACTGGAACCAAGGGAGAGGAATTAGTATTCAAATTTTTTTTAGGTTTGCAGTTGGTAACCACATACCCCGTTCTCTTCGTGGGGGGGAAAAGAAAACACAAAACCCAACCCTTTGTTCTCTAAGCAACATGGCAAAGTATGTTCTTATAAAAGGTGGCAAAACACACGTGATGCCCCAGCCATCAGCCAAAGGGGAAGCAACATGCAAAATGCAAAGATAAAACATCCCCAAGGGAGAGCAAATGTTTCTTTTTATCAAGGAGGGAGGAAGGTCTATGTCCAGGAAGACATAAGAGGTTTTCTTTTCCTGATAAAGTGAAAAATAGTGATAATAAAATGGAGGGAAAAGGGAAAATTTGGGGTTTGAAGTCAGAAGAGCAGGGATGCCAAGCCATCCTTGCAGACGCGCAACCCTTAAGTAAACCCTTCTAAATGGTCATGACAGGAGATGAAGTCAAATAAAAGCCATGCTTTCTCCTTCCTGCCTCCTCCTGAACACCTCTCCCGCACTTCTGAGAGCTGAACCCTGCTCCTCTCTGTGCAGTGCTAGAGTCACAGAGTGTCTGCAGCATCCTGGCCGGGCACCTGGCGTGCCACAAACAGCAAACATACTCTGCCCCTCTCCTGGTGCGCCCCGTGCCCATCAGAGCGCTCTCCCTCCCATACCCCATCCACAGGCTTGTGAGACCTGGCATACGGTCCAAGCAGTGCCTGATGTCCGCGCTACATTTGCTGAGTTGAGGTCAGGCTGGAAGGTGTCTCAGGGTTTACTACCCATCATGACATGGGAATATTAGCATATATATCGTTTATGAAGTATGACACAATACCTATCTGTCAGTCAGCCCATCTTTCTACCTATTGAGTCTGTCTAATCTACTTCAGCTAGCTACATTTCACTATCGCTATCAATCACCTATTGCTCCATGTTACCTAATTTCTTCCTGTCTCTCTCTCACCTTTTTCACTCTAACCTTTCTTACTCTAGCTATACTCCCCTCTCTCTCCCTATCATCCATCTATCCACTCTAAAGTCTTTTTTTCCCTTCCTCTCTCTAATCCCTGTTTTAAAAAATCTCTGTCCAATCTCTCTCCCACTCTCTCTTTCCCTCTCTTTTTTCAATCCTCCCACTCTCTCTCTCTCTTATTTCTACACAAGGCCAGGAAGTGCATGGAAATGAATCCCTACACATTTTGATGGCACATCCAGTTCAAAGGGATTCACTCTGAGGAGACACAGTTCATCTTTTCTCCCTAATTCCAACAAAGAGATGGAGGAGAACAAAGGAAGCAGGAATTAGCGAGACTTTGGGGCTGTCAGCAGACTCATTTTTTGGTGCTACTGCTTTTAGGCCAATTTAATCCTGGTCCTATCAACAGCACTGTTCAGCAATTCCAGCAGCCACTTGGCCTCTGTGCTGCCTATCCTTCACCATGGAAGGCCAGGTCTGGTGGTCACTCGGCTGGGGACAATCCTGCATCCTGTAGGCAGTGGCCAGGAGGTACACACAGTGGTGCTCAAATGAAGAGCCCAGCCTTAGCTGTGCTTAAAGCAGGCTGCAGGAGGTGGCCATAAATGACAGCTGAAGCCCAGGCTGGGTGACTAAACCTAGGTTTTATCAGGCAGCAAGGGACAAAAATTTCTCCAAGTGCTTTTGGTTGGCTCTGACGCCACCAGACCTTGCCCTGACCACATGCCTATGCACTTATTGCACTGCCCCAACACATTTTGCCAAACGGAACATCTTTGGAGAACAATGCCACATCAGTCAACAACTTCTTCATTTCCATCCCAGTGAGGCAATCACCAGTGAGGACCTGGCCCTTCCTGGCCCTCAACGCATTCCTTGCCAGGTCTCAGAGCTTCAGCATGGACCAAAGCAGGTCCCTCAGACGGCACCCATGGGGCTGCCTGGGATCACTCCCCTGAGGTCACCATGCTCCCCTAAAACAGGACTTAGAGGACTCCTGGAAGCACACTTCTTTTGTTTTTTCCCAAGATTAATTTTGCTACTTTTCTTAAGCTAATGCCTCACTCAGTGCTGATGTCTCACTCAAAATCGAAGCCTGCTTCCCTTGAAAATCCCCCAAGTGATGCCAAGGAGAGTGCTCGGCCACTGACTGATGGTAGAGCAGTGGCTGAAGAGCAGAGTGGGGCCACGCGACAAGCAGGCCACCAAAGAGCATTCTGCACACAGAGGCCAGCAGGACGTACAGCAGCATAGAAATGCGACACGGTTATGTTAATGATCATTATTCTCATTTATTATAATTATTGTTCAGTTTGAAAAAGGAGCCTGGAGCCAAGCATTATGCTAATTGGCACATTTTTTTTTGTTGTTGTTGTTCTAGTTCTGAAAAGAAAATGGGATTTAGTACTATTGTTTGTTCATTTGTTTTGTTAAGTTTGTTTTTCTTTCGTTCATTCCATCACATTGAAAAAGGAAGAAAAGGATTACTATTCTTTTTTTCCTGCTTTGCTTTTGTTTTAACTCACTCAGTAAGTCTGGACTCCTCGGATGAACGGGAACATTGCACACACACACTTGGAGAAGAGAGAGAGGAGAGAGAGAGAGAGAGAGCGCTCGCGGTGGGCAGACAGACACACGCACGCGCCAGGTCAAAGAACTCTGATACAGTGCAAGAATTTTCCCAAAATGATTGGATCATCATTACCAAAAAACTCGCCATAACAACACCAAGAAACAAAGAAATGTTTAAGCCACACTGTTTGACTGGGATTTTTCCTGCTTTTTTTTTTTTTTTTTTTTTTTCATTAAATGTTTGCCACACAGAGAGAAAAAGGGTTTAAGTGGGAATGGGAGAGGGACGGACAGGCTCACAGACGTGAGCAGGAAGGGGGGAGATCAAGATCGGGGCAGGAAGGAAGGATAGAGGATAGGGGGAGGGAGGGAGGGGCAACGGGGAGTCATTTCTTAATGTTCAGGCATTTTCTTGGTCCGCCTTGCTCTCTTCTTCTTTCACCTCTTCCTGCTGGGCACTTTCAGTAGGTTTGGTTTCTTCTACAGCATCTAGTGGGGAAAGAGATGATTCAGCATTAGTCAGCCACAATCTAGAGCATCCTGCACATGCATGCAGTCATGCACGACAAAACTGCATGGCTTTTGGCTTCTCTCTCCCAAAGGAGACTCAGGTCTCAAGGTTTCTGGCATTTCTGTGGCATGGGAAGAAGATGCCTAGGTTCAGCCTAGCAGACGAGTGCATGGCTCTCACATGAAATCTCCAGCCGTACCAGAAACCTGGTGCAACTGGGAGGAGCTGCCTAGAGCCTTAAGCCCAGCCTCCTGCTGATGTGTCAGGCAACTTTCATTCATTTCACCACATGCACTGATGAAGCTCTTGGCTTGTAGGGTGAAACCAGCTAGATCCAATGTCTGAATTATCCTTTTATCACACCCACTGGCTGTGCCAATCACCATTGAATTTCTCAGCTCTAATTACTGCTACTGAACTTCTCAGAAGTTTGGAAGAGGGAAAAAAAAATGTAACCTGTAACTCAAATTTCTCTTACACCAAACAGAAATAATGAATGGGAGCCTTTGGACAGAAGGCTGTCCTCTCCAGTTTTCTGGCCTCTCCTTCCAAAGGCAGAGCTGCCAGGGGGAAAGCAGTGATTGCAAATGGAGAATGGATCTGCAATCCCACAGTAAACAAACCATCAGGGGGCTAGCATTGAGGGGAAGACAGAGGCAGTCAGGAGGAACAAGACAGTGGTTCACCAAAGGGTTGCAGGATAATGCAAAGGGTCTTAGTGCACTGGAGTGATTGGTCTGCCAATTCTCCCCATTCCATGCTTACTACTCCTCAACCCACCTAAACATATGCACTGATACTGTGGAGAAGTCAAGCAAGGAGCATCACTCCAGATTTATTATAAACAATGGAGAAAAGAAGTGCCAAAGGGCTGGGTGGTGCAGGATGGGGCACAGGACTGGTATGTCACATACTGCAGCACTGGTGCTTCATATACCTCTACATCATCAGTGTATTTCTGGTGGACTCAAGGGTCCCCTTGAACAAACCACTTCCTAGCTTCTGAGATGGGCTATCATCTTGTGTTACAATGGCAAATAAAATAGACCAGGGTTTGCTCTCTTTCCCTGAAGCTACCTGGCACTACTCAACTCAGGTCCGTATGGCTAAATCCTTGCACTCCAGAACAAGAGAGGATGTGTCTGAGAGCTCTCTTGAGCAAAGCTAATTGAAATATTCAAAAACCACATTATGGTCCGCTTTGTCAGCTTAACATTACAGATGTTCACATGACAACATTTAGTTTGTGAAGGTAAGCATCCTCATCCATGTTTATTACTAGTCGGAATACTAAATGGGATGTGAACCATTCCTGACTGAGACTGATGATGCATTTTTGCCTGGTCCATTCGATGCCATCAGATGGCAGACTTGTATTTGCTTCCAGCACTGGCAGCAGGTGCCGCAGCTCTCACACCCCTCTCTGCCTCAGTTCCTTAGCCTCTCTTTTACATGCCTTTCTATGCACCATTTCCACATGCATCACCTTTAAGGTGTAACATCCCACCCTAAATCAACTTCATCAACTGCTTTGCTTTAGGAACTTAGAGCACTTTTTGTCTTAGTGAAATTCAGACATTCATTTTCTAGTAAGAAGAATTCTTCAAGAACATCCCCATCACCCAATACCATGGTCTGAGAGCCTGCATTGCCTGCCAGCAAAAGCTTCTAAGCACTTGCTTTCCCCTGATACTGAGCAGCAAAACAGAGTGCTTCTTAAAGACCTTTTCTATATATAATACAGCTATACAACAATGAACCAAAGACAAAATAGACTACTGATAAAAATGGGATCTAAAAATGGACTGGATTGCAAAGCAGACTAACTTGCTTTAGTTTGGTTAATGTTTCTGAATGATTCAATCACACTCCCCATAGAGGGCAGGGAATCTCTTTAATCCTGCTCCTCTCCAAGGCGTTCATAGCAGGGCACATGTTGAATTATGGAGCTGAAAGCATGCATGGCCAACTGCATCTCAGTGTAGGCCAAAACAACATCATTAGCCAGCAGCTTTGCTAGTCTAGATCCCAGTAAGACAAAAGGTCTGCTTTCCCATACGTAAATGCAAGATAAATGGAAGATCAGCAAAGGATGGGCAACTCAAGGAGCACAAGTCCCCACCATATTTTATGTTTTAAACATGTGTTTAAAACTTTTTGCATGTTCTTAGTGAAAATGCACACAGATTTCAGCCAAGAGTCCCCACAGCCTTCTCAAGACAGTGTAACAGAAGGGCACATAATGCAACAAGCAAAGGGACAGACACTGGGAGGTCCCGAGTTCCTGCTGTCCATACTGAGAGCCTTGGCCAAGCCATGCAAACCATTAAGTTGCACACATTCCCTCACGGCAGTTGAAACTGGGGTCTTGGTTCTACTGAAGTAGGATCCTATGGTAGTATAGGCTTTCGACAATTGTGACAGGACATGAACAGGAATTCTGGTTGCATTCAAAATGGGGGAATTATGTGGGATTGCTCACGATACTGTCCCTGCTGGCTCACCATAGTGGCAAATCTAATTTCCAGAGAATGTCTGTGGCACCTAGAGGGCCTTGACTGGCAGAAGAATTTCCTTGCTGCATAGGAGCTTTGCTGTCCCCCCTGTACTCCTCTGGAGGCAGTTGGCAGTAGGCAGACACTGCACTGATTTCTGCCATGCTGAAATAGCCTAGACTGACTCTAAGGTCAGGGAGCAGCAGAAAGGCTATGAAGTCACTTCATTACATTTTCAAGTCTTGTGCAGAACAGAAAGGAATCAGAAAAAATCAAACATATGCTGAACACAACATTGAGTTACTTTTCACCTTTTGTTAATAGCCCAAGTATAAATAAGAGCTCTATCTTTCTAACAAGAACTATCAAGCCAAATTCATCTAGCCACTCTCCTTTTAATTTTACATGGTTTTGAAGCAATGAGGGGAAATACTATATCCACACGTGCACCCTGCTGCCACTAAGCTATGTCTCACTTCCTAGGAGCTTTAGCACAGTTCCATTGATCTTTAAGACAAGGGAAAAGAAGCAACCTGGTGTTATTGTTCAGTAATGAGCTTCAGCAAGAGGTAACATCACAAAGGATAAACAATTCAGCATAAAAAATGAAGTTCAAGCTGTGGCACTGCTAAATCACAGCAGTGAAAAGAGGAAGGTTCTCCCCGAGCAATGGGAGTATTGCATCACAACCCTACTGACATGAGGGCCAGTTAATAGCAGTTTATGATTCACAAGGAGAGACTAGGTGGTTTTGCCTGACTCACCCTTCACCGGTTTGTTTGATGCAGGCTATTTCTGCAGTATGTTCTCGGGGGTTTTCTATAACCTAGTTTTCAGTCCCAGTAAAGTCTGCTAGGTGTCCCTGGGGAGATTATTACAGATTTATCCTGGGGGATCTCATAGATCAGAGAGGAGCTCTCTTTCACCGCTTTTTACTGGATATCAGGCTTGATTTCCCACTGCCTTGAACTCTGGGCTGTTGCACATGTTGGTGTGTAGTGGACAGGTACAGTTACACAGCCAGACCTTGATTCAATCACACAACCTTGACATTTCACATTCACTTTGCATTTTGTTGAACTAGGTGTAAAAGGTGACAAAAAAAGCAGGTGAGAATTCAGGGCATCGAGGTAAAATGTTCTGCACCCTCGTTGAGGAACAACAGCATGCCATCCCAAGTGGTCAAATTTCCATCTGTTTAAAGCTGCCCCTTCAGAACATGCAAGCATTGTGAGGCCTCAACCAGAAAGATCAGATTGCCCATATCCACCCTCAATGGAGAGAACGAACAAGTGGCACTGACTTATCCCTTAAGATGGACCTGGACCAGGGCAGCAGAAAGATGCACTGGGAGACATCACAAAATAGGAAAGTTGAAGTAAGAGAGGACAGAGAGGATAGGGGCCCTGTTCATTACCTGGCAGCTATGCACAGACATCATCAGCTGGTCTTCTCACCCTGCTCCCCCTTTCCAATTACTGAAGATAAACATGGCATTTTTGAGGCTATTAACTGAACCTCTGAGGGCTGCTTCAAAAGTAATGGCTCATATTTGGCCCAGGACATGAGAGGTGGATGTTGGTGGTTTGGCATGATCCTACATGCCACGCTCATCAAGATCTGCACCAGTAAAGGTGCCCCAATGCTTTTTTTTGTCACTGCTGAAACACCACCCACTGCTTCACTGTGCTCACATCCACACTTTGGACTTCAGAAATGTTCAGACATTGTCAGTGAATGTCAGTGGGTACAGAAACCTTTTGAACAGCCTTGGACAAACCTCAGGCTGTGACCATGCAAGTGCTTCAGGGATAGGGCTGTTTGATGGGAGGGACTGAAATGTGCTTGCTTCCCAGCTTAAGGGCCCTGTCTTGACAGTTGCCTCATACCTAGAGCTCGAACTGGAACCTGACCGGGAATTTTAAGTGCTTTGTCTGTGGGAGGGAAATGATACATAAATAAACTACAGATCCTTGCTGAAATAGGGTCTTAGGGAGCTTCTGCCCCTCAGCACTTTATTTATTTACTGGAAAGGATGAGAATCATATCCATAAGCTCTGCAAGCAAACGTCTTGAACATATGCAGCTCTGGATACTGTGGAGCCGCAGCAGGAGTGCAGGCAACAGCATGGCTGGAAGGTGGCACCTCCAGCTGCCTTTGCCGTGCTGCACTCTAATGACTGAGCATGCAGGCTTCTCTCCAAGTCTTCCCAGTGCCTTACATTAGTGAAATTAGGTTGAATGGATTTCCGGGTAAAATACTGTCTCTTGGGACCTGCCCAGCTCCCATCCGACTTGCCAAGATTAATTAAATCAGAGCAGACATCAGTTTATGACCAGAGTAGCAGTAACCTCTCTGCTGATCATTTCTTTTGTGGCTGGTGGCTTGGGTTTTGTTTTCCTTTTCCTTTCTGTTCCATTGTAGATCTTCAAATTACCACAGCTGATGCCAAAATAAAAGAAATTGCACAAACACTCTGGGA